GTCAACCATCAGCGCTTTGCACTGGCTGCCCTGGGCCCTGGGCCCATGTCCCTGGTCAACAGACCAGCATTTTCTTTATTACCAAGAGCAAGCTGGGCTCAGTTTCCTCACCTGGAGGCCAGAAAAACATGTAGTTTTTTCCTTTGCTGATTTTCCACTTTCAAAAGCAGCTCTTAGCCTGCCCTTAGCAATGAGGAGGTATGCCTCTAACCCCCTGCTGCTGAGCTCTGCGTGAAAGCAGATGTGGAAAGATGAAGTTTCCTAATGGAGAAGTATCTTAATCTCTGTGATATTTGTGTCAGGTTTTTTAAGAACGTGATACTCTCGAAGAAATTTGCAAACCTAAGTAGAGATTAGTTTATATGGCTTAACATTCCTTTAAACCATATGTCAATAGGACCCTTTAGGGGGTGGGGTAGATTATTTGTTACAGATGCCTGTGCTGAGTGGAAAGGAAGGGTGGTCTCCTGTGTTTTGGTTGTAGCAGGGGTCAACAAACATGGGCCGGGCCGCCTGTGTATTTAAATAAATCTTACTCGAACATAGCTGTGCCCGTGCATTTACATCATGCCGATGGGTGTTGTTTAGTACTACAAAGATTGTTGAATACTAACAGCAGTGGCCATATGGTGTAAAAAGCCTGAAATATTTACTATCAGACAATTTTACCAAGGACAAAAAGTCGCCAAATCGGAAGGGATTGCCTAGCGCCAGGAGACTGTACCTTGAATCTGGCTCTATTACCAGCGTGGGGAGTTCAGGCTAATTATTTCGCTCCTTACGCATCAGTGTCCTCGCGGATGAAATGAGGGATCTTGAGTGTTGTTTTTTTGTTTTTGTGTGTGTGATTTTTTTAAAAGTTATTAATCATTTTATTGAGGCCTCTTACAGATCTTATCACAACCCATAAATCAAGTGCATCAAGCACACAGAGTTGTGTTTTATATTAGGTCATATCGGCTTCCCTCAGAGATACAGCGGGATTGGTTCCAGACCACTGCGGTCAAGTGAATACCCCAACTGAAGCGAGGCCCGGGACTTTGTCAGATAAAAATTATGTTTGCATTATGCTCTCGTCGATTACGTGTTCATCAACTCAATAAGCAGTGGGTTTGAGCTTCTGAAAAGCTTTATGAAAAAGTTTGAGCTATTGTGAGACTTACAACACAGGGCACACAGGAGGAGCTTGGTGGCCTCGTGGTGACACGTTGGGCTACTAGCAAGTCAGCAGTTTGAACCACCGGCCGCCCCTTTGGCGGAAGTCCAGGCTTTCTCTTCTCACGAAGGGTTACCGTCTCAGGAACCCACAGGGGCCGTTCTGCCCTGTCCTCTAAGGTCCCTGTAAAGCCAGAATGGACTCTCGGGCAGTGAGTGATAGCACCCAACACACAGCAAGCACATGCTGTTGACAAGAGGGTGCTGATGCACTCGATCCAGGGTGGCCACACACCTTCAGTCTGTGAAGTGAAATGCAGCCAAACGAGGTGTGTCTGTGGCTATAAAGATGATACTGTTGCTGCGCTGTGAATATTGTGGGGAGCCCCTATCAAACCCTGAGCATAGTGTCTGCCGTGGAAAGCAGTTCACCCAACACACAGACATTAAAAGTAGCTCATTATTTTTATGGATGCTGTTAATTTTGTTTCGTCTTCTGCCCCTTTGTGGGCATTGCTTCCCAGTTGTTAGTGGCCCAGTGTTGTCCTGCCCCAGCCGGCCAGTAGACAACTCTGGAGAGCTTACAAATGGAGTACTGGGAAGGAAGTAGGAGGGCTGAGTGAAGCTGCAGTCTGGGGAACACAGGCAGCAGCGAGTCAAGGCCAAACCCCAGCAGTGACGTAGGGAGCATGGACGCTGGACTGTGACATCCTGGGTTCTTATCTGTGCTCTACTCTTCACTACTTACTTCACCTTTCTCGGCCTCGCTGCTCTTTCTGGAGCATATAAATACGCCATAGTGACGCACAGGTTCACGAGGATAAACAGATCCGGCACACAAGATGTGTTCGGTACACGTGACTGCTGAGTGGTGCTACTCTCGGTAGTCAGGAGTGAGGCGAGCATCCCACGCCTTTCTAGTCCAGGTCTTTGCTCAGATATTGCCTTCTCACTGAGCCTTTCCCAGAGCATCTCGTTTAAAATGTCCATCTTCTGGCCTCCCCTTCTCTCTCCTCTGTTTGAGCTGTCACTGGACAGCATCTCACTCTCTTCCCCGTGAGTTTCTTAAGGATGAGGACGATCGCCCGTGTTGCACACTGATCTGTTCTGGGTGCCCGTCACAAGGTAGTCATGCGGTACATGTCTAATGAATGCCAGTGTCTGCTGGGAAGTGCCGGGCTCAGCTTGGGCCGGGGCTGCAGGCCTCTGTAAGACGCCCACAGACTCGAGCCATCAGCCTGGCCGCTCACAGGACTGACAGCAGTAGTGAAAGTAAGGGACTCTGATGACGTCCTGATACCTTTATAGGAGAAAATGAAGAGTTGTTAAAGAGACCTTTTCAATTTTGTCATTTTGTTCCTACTGGGGACTTTATGTTCTAGCTCAGGGTCATCAAACTGTGGCTCACGAGCCGTGTGTGGCTCTTTGGGTATATATCTGTCTAACTCAGCGCCAGCAGGCCTCCTGTGGGAGCAAACGGGGATCCTAAAGCTCCGGTCAGATGGGCCAGCTGGCCTGTGGGACTTGAAGTGAGACCTGGAGGGCTCAAACTTGGCTTCTCATGCAGTCAGAAACCCCAAATACTCCTCTTGTCATGTCCTACCTTTGACACCAAAGCACAGATATTTAGGACAATGAACAAAAGGAAAAGGGGAATGTAAAAGGAGGCTTTTTTTTTATTTTTTAAAGAATCAGCTTTAGGAGTGAGGAGACCTGTAGTGGCGTGCTGGTGATGCGTTGGGCTGCGATTCACAAGGTTTGAGGTTCAAAATCACCAGCTGCTCCACAGGAGAATGACAGGGCTTTCTACTCTGTAAACCAGCAGTTCTCAACCTGTGGGTGGCGACCCTTTTGGGGTCAAACCACTCTTTCACAGGGGTCGCACGATTCAGAATAGTAGCAATGAAAATAATGTTATGGTTGGGGGTCACCACCACATGAGGAACTGTGTGACAGGGTCGCGGATGGGGAAGGTTGAGAGCCACGGTCTCAGAACCTCACAGACGTACTTCTCCCCTGCCCTTGGGGTTGCTCAGAGTTGGAATCGACCCCCTGGCCGTGGATTTGGGTTGGAGTTTAGTTTGGAGTGAGAATATCCAGCCATTTCTTTTTGTAAGACGAAAGACTTAGCTCTCTCAGTAGAGTGGAATTATTTTGGGACAAGGCCTGTGTTTGATTCATAATTGCATTTGTAATGCTTGCCACATAGCCAGATACAAAACAAAGAATAAGCAAATGCTTACACAGAGTTTGACGCTGGCCTTCTTACAGCATTAGTTTCGGACTATGAAGTAGGGTATCTTTGAAGTAGGGCATCTGTTTGAGCATTTTGAAGTAGTGTATAGTTATCTACATTGGATGTTTTGACTAATATGCACACAAGAATAATGAGTGCAGACTGGATCTGTGTACTACAGGGCCAGTAGGCTACTAGGAAACATCGCTGTGGGCATGGAGATGATGCAATGTTTCTTCCACCAAACCAAAGGCTTCCAAAGACATGAGAGTGATATACCAGAATCCCAGACATTCAGATAACACGTGCCTGAGACAAGACAACCACACCCATATAGTTTGTCTAAGATGATCTCCAAACTAGGAGACTGGTGAATTTTCCCTCAGAGTGAGGATTTTGGCTGGACACTCCTGGTGAGAGAGATGGGTGTCTTTGGTGACTAGCATACCACCCAGGACCAGCTAGAAAGCTCTCAGCTTTTTCCTCTAGAAAGCTGGGATATGACTTCGGGGAACTCTTTAACATCTAGCGTTGCAGCATAATGCCTAAATGTCATCACCTGGTGCTGATGCAGTTTACTGAGACGATGCCAGTGGCATGATGGCACACAAGTAGGAAGCCCTAGTCGGGAACCGAGAGCACACTGGTGGGACTTCACAGGATGCCGGAGCTTCAGAAATCTGGGACAGTTTAAATGCATGGCATGAACTGATTATTCGGCTCTCTAATGCCAAAGAGCTGTCAAACATGCTCGAATAGTCTTTTCGAAAACTAACACATAAATGTTGTTTAAGCAGGGAGTTTATATTTTATTTCTCTAGCATAAGACACATTTTATTTGAAAGTTGATTATGCAGGATAAAGTGGTTAAGGGGAATCCATTGCACCCCCAAAATAACCTCATGTCTTCCATCCTGTTTTCCAGCATGGGCTACTGCATTCTTTTTGTGCATGGATTGAGCAAGCTCTGCACTTGGCTCAATCGATGCGGGGCCACCACCCTGATTGTGTCCACCATGCTGCTGCTGCTGCTGCTCTCTTGGAAAACCGTGAAGCAGAATGAAGTGTGGCTGTCAAGAGAGTCCCTATTCAGGTATGGTTAAGAGAAAAATAGAAAATCTCTTCCTGGGTCTGATTGTACTTATTCATCTAGAAAATTCGTTTTACTTTACACCTGGAATGGAAGACGCAATTCGCTGTGGGCTTTAACTTTAGTTTTCACGTGATACTACAGAAAAGTCAATGAGAGTTGCTTGCACAGTGAATTTGTGAAAATAAGGCCCAATAAGTTCAGATAGAAACAATCTTAATAATGAGCTGGGTTTTAAAATCAGTTGTAAACAAAATGAATAAGCCTGATCTCACTGTTAAGACAAGCACACAGGGAGAAGGAAAGGAAATGAATACAGTACTCAGAAAATGGAAAATGAAAATAACCAATTTGACATGCATGCTAATTTTCTCATTATCATTATGATTATCATCATCATTATATTTATATAGTAGAGGCTTATTGCTGCATGTATGTGTGAGTGTATCAGCATGTGTAAATGAACTTGTTTCCCCATGAAGATCTGCACCGTCACACACACTCAGATCACACTCTGGTGGGACTCCATCCATCTCAGTCCACGTGCATGGGAACTCTTTCCACAGTGGAGTGAGTTCCTCTTGCTCCTCAGCACTGAGGTCAGTCTGTAAACACGGGGGCTCTGGAATACAGTAATATAACTTCCTCCTTGTCTCCATCTGCTGAAACGTTCTGTTTTCACTTTCAAGATCTGATTTTATAAGGAACTTTACAACAGAACTGCCCTGTGTAAAAACCAGTTACAGCGTTGGTGTCACCTAATGATGTTTGCCACTTAATCAAGCCCATTTGGCCATGGATTTTGGCAGGCAGCAGGTTTATTTAAAAGATAAAAAGTTGATGTTTGAACACTCTACAACTAATGGCAGCAATTAAAAACAAAAATGAAAACCCCCAGCTCATTGCATTCAGAAGCGGCTGCCCTTTTGGAGGGAGACATTCTAAGCCCCGTTGATGCTTGGAACCACAGTGAGGTTTGAACTCTCTGTATTCTATTTTTTCCTATACATACAGGGTGAGCAAAACATATTGTTCCAAGGTGATAAGAATCCTTGTTAGACAAAAATATCAAAACCGTGAAGCTACTGTTTCTTACCATGTCCGTCTAGATTCATACATCTGAAATCAGTATTTCATCTCTCTGTTTCCATTTTACTTGAATCTATGATCAACACTCATTGCAGGCTGGGGGGAAAGGACCAGCCCCCCACCACTAATCATGGGCTCGATAGGCAAAAGTCAGAGAGCATGAGAGATAGATTGAAATAATGGAGTCAGACACATTTCATGGTAGCATGCTGGATGGCCATGATCTCAACAACCAGGTCCGCGCACAGTGTGGGCTGAGGTGAGGTGGGGCAGAGAGCTGGCAGAAGCCCCGTTTATTGCTAACCAAGGGTTATATCTACTTAGGGGGGTGTGATTACAGGTAGCCACACATCACAAGAAGGGGATGTACAATGATTGGAAGGGGATGAGCTAGGGGTGTACACATGATAGGAAGCAGAGGGACTAGGGGTATACATGTGACAAGAAGGGGCGAACCCTAGATTCATGATGGTGGCCTAACCTTGGTCACCCTTGGGTGGGCTTGACTTCTCTGGGGTCTCCTACAAGGAAACAGACAACTACTATCCTTATTAGAAGGAAGTGGGTCCTACTTTTTGTGGGATAAACAGTGGTGTCTGCTTGGTCTAGATGGCTGATAACCCTTAGGGAGAATAACCCCTGATCTACTTCTGATGACCTCCAAGTGTATAGTCATTAACAAAGAGCTAAGTTTGGCATATATTTGGGGGAGACAACTTGGGAGAAATCCTTCTGTTTCCCACAACTCACGAAAACAGCAGTCAAGGAGGGAGGGGAAAAATGAGGACCTAATGCCTAAGTGGAGAGGAAATGTTTTGAGAATGATGAGGGCAATGAATGTACAAATGCGCTTTACACAATTGATGTATGGATTGTGATAAGATTAGAAAAAAAAAATCCAACAAACCAACAAAATAAACTTAATACCTAAGCAAAAAAAAAGAAAAAAAAGAAAACAGCAGTCAAGAAATCAAACAATATCACACTGGGAAAATCTGCTACCAAAGACTTCATTGACGTATGAAAGAGCTAAGAGGTCACTTTGTGGACTAAGGGCCACCTGACTCAAGCCGTGAAATTTTCAGTTGCCTCAGTGCATGTGAAAACTGGACAGTGAGTAAGGAGTACCGGAGAAGAGTCGATGCATTTGAATTACGGTGTGGGTGACGAATATTGAAAGTGCCGTGAACTGCCAGAAAAAACAAACACATTCGTGCTAAAAGAGGACAGCCAGAGTGTTCCTTAAAGCGTGTGACTTCAACCTGTTACCAGGAAGACTAGTCCCTGGAGGACATCATGCTTGGTATTGAATCAGCAGAAAAAGGGGACGACCCTTAATGCGGTAGATTAACACCACGGCTGCCACAACAGTTTTAAGGATGGCGTGGTTAGGATTGTGTCTCGTTCTGTTGTGCTTAAGATCACTGTGAGTCCGAGCCAACTAGACAGCATCTAACATAACAACAGCCCTTCCTGAGAGAAGTCTGCCATCTTCAATGTGCACCACATCAACACAGCCGTTCGGGAATCCTGGAAGGACTCGACTTGTGTTCCTTTTTAAATCTCCTTTGAGCTTGGGGAAAGCAAGCATCTGAAGGGGCAAGATCAGGCCTCTCGTACAGGGTGGATAGCGTAAGGATTCTCAATGCATTCTCATAGATAGCCCTTCCTGTCCTCTGAGAATGAGCACATGCATTCTCATGATGGGGAAAAATCCCTGTGTAACTTCCTGGCCTTTTTCTCACCATTGTAGTTTTTTCTTTCTTTCATCCTGTCTTTCCTTCTTTCTCTCTTTCTTTTTTGGAAAATAATTTCTTTATTTTCGATCATCCTATGTCTTTGGGGGGAAAAAAAAATCTGTCACGATTACCCGGTTGGAATTGGCAAAATCAGCTGTAACTTTTTGAACTGGTCTCTCTGCCTTGAATGTAACTGACCCAGCAGATCCCTTAGATGTCACTGTTTTGAGTGACCAGTCCTGAGGATGCTCTGAGAGACAATCATGGGTAGCCAGCCAGGTGTGGCCAGCTGCAACTCACCTGTGCTTCCCAGGCTCTGGGAAGAAGCTCGCTCTAGTAGGGATCAGGACTGCTTGGAACTTTATCACACCACACAGAAAGGGCGCAAATTAAATATTTTTCTGACCATACTCCACGGGTAACAAACCGCACAGAGCAAAACCATGTATAAGGGGAGGCCTAGTATATATAGTCAATGAGCTGTTTAGCATCAAACACAGCTTTTCTTTCTATGGGCTTAAGAGACATTGTGCCCAAAGAGACCCTTAGTTATCAAATGGAAGAATTTTGTGTAATATGCAAAATAAAGCTGTCCATGATTTTTCAAAGAACTTTGTCCTATTTTATCAGTGTCTTGAGAAGACATTTGAGAATTCGAGACTTTCAGGCGTATTCTTATTCCATATCAAAGCCAGATGCTCGTGCTAGCTCATCTGTGCTGAGTAAAGTTCGGATCAGTTTAACAATATCAACTTAGAACCCACAGGGCAGTCTCAGGTTAGGGATCTAGTGTGGGATTTGGGGTCAGACTTCCTGAGTTCACTCAAAGTTCTAACATTGATTCACGGTGTGACTTTTTGAAAGCTATTTAAGTACTCTGTGTCTCTGTTTCTTCATGTGTAAATTTGGAGAGATTATATTGTTCAACTCCTAGGTATAGTGTAAGGATAAAATATGTGTGAAATGCATAGGACAAGTAGTAGTACTATATGACAAATGTATGTGATACATATTATATAATGTTTGAAAGTTCCTGCTATGAATTAAACACTATATTCTAAGATATAAGATAGACGGATTGTCCCTGCCATAGGGGAGTTAGAAACCTGTAAGGGAGTTAGACATACAAGATGTTTCAATAAACGGTAGCAAGTACTAGGCATAGATAGGCCAGGGCATTGTGAAAGGCCAGGCAAGTAACTAAAAACAACCGAGGACTCCCAAAAATTTCTCTTGTAGGCCTGAGCTGAGTATTGAAGGATGAAGAAAGCCTACATTTCTCATGATGGTCAAAACCAAGAGCAAGCCAAACTAAGCCATATCATTAGTTGAATTCAGTTGGGTATTCCAAGTTTAGCTGGCAATTTCTCCAACATCTGTTTCAAAAAAAAAAGTTAAGAGAAAATTGCAGGTGTTCTAGAGAAGATGCTGTTCTTGGCCAAGGCTTCAGTTTTCTCCTGTCTCCAGCTGTAACCTGATGGACACTTTTAGGACGAGGCCCACTGAGGCCTTTCTTTTGAGGTGGGTGGGGCTTTCCAGACAACACCATGAGCAACACAATACAATACACTGACAGGGTATCTTAGGGCAGGCTTTGTGTTGGAGATCATACAAATTTCAGTTGAGTTTCAGCCTTTTCAAGTCAAGTCTCCTCTCACACAAAAAAAGATCCCAAGGTCTGAAGTATTTTTAGGAGACTCAGATATAGGCTCCCCTCACAGTTTCATTATCTCTGCCCTTTTGTTAACAAGAACCTAACACACAAATCCAGTACTTGTGCCAAGTCAGAATCTCAGAGAAGGTACGTAATCTCTGCCCATGCTAAGATAGCTATAAGGGTGAGGATCCAGGATGTGAATCCAAATCTGATGCATAAGCTTTGCCTCACCAATTATTATTATTATTATTACTACTACTTTTATAGCCAAGACTAGGCATAGTACCAGCAGAGGGAAATGTTCATGATCATAGCATAAAGCCATTATTTTTTAATTCTTATAAAAAGAAACTGTTCTGATGTCCTAAGGTGAGATTGTGATTATTCTGGTCAGGTCTAGTAACAGCCGAAGAATCTTATGTTGGCTTGGAAGAAACAAGAGTGTAATAGCATAATTAGAGATAATACTCCAACAATCTTCAAAATACTGAGGAAAAGATAGGAATATTGTCTTCTGT